TATACTGCCACGATTATGACTTGTAATAGAAACAGGTGCCAACATTGTCCAAAGCTACTTCTCAAGCCGGAAAGAAAGAGCCTTCACCTGCTCTTGCTCCAAAAGGCAGTCCTGCATTCCAGGTCTGACGTCGCTTTGCTTCACCTTTGTCTCGTCCACCTCATAGGCAGGAAGGCTGCCCTTGAACACCATGCCAAGCTCATCCATCTGGAGGGCCTCCGCATTTTTTTATACGTGATGCGACATGAGCTGCTGCAAAACACGTGATTCGATATGCGAGTCTAGCAGCATACAGGACTGCCGGTGTCGACCCCAAGACAATGTAGAACTTGCTCGCAATTCGGAGCAGCATTCCGGGCTGGCACAATGCCGGAATCCAAAATTTGGAGCTTGACTCTGCAGGATCCAGGCCCGACCTGAGCAGCATGTGCTGTTGACCCTGCCGTTGTTGGCGCCTTCTCAGAGGCAAAACAAATTCATGCAACCGGGAATCTTTGCCGAAAGAAGCAGGCCCTTTAACCAGTTCAGCTCCACCTTGTTGTGGTGAAAGGAGGACGTAGACTGGTAGCCTTTGAGGATGTTGTCCAGGTTGAAGTGGCTGCCTGGGATATGATAGTCTTAATTCTCTTAGGATGTTCGTAGCAATGACATGTATGTATGTCTATTCTATGACACAATGATATGTGCAGAAGCGAAATGATAAGTGTGGATGAATCTTGAAAAAACAACCGCCGTGATCTTCATACCGGAACTCGTTCGTCCACTCTCTCCATCATTCATTCTATGATTCACTCAGGTTCTTTGTTCATTCGTTGAACCAATCATCATCCAAGGCTCTTCCTGAGAAGGACGTCGGTTTCCAAACCGAGGCCTTCAGGGCCCGGACCTCGCTGCCCTCGAAGTCCTCCACACCGAGCTTCACGGACCGTGGCCGGTCTGTCTCACCCGCCTGCTGCCGCTTCTCATTCAAAGCCACCTTTTGCTCCACAGCCCGTATGGAAAGGCATTGCAGGTTGGCCATGCTCGCCTTGAGATTTTTCACTCCACGTTTGCAGCCATCCTCAACTGCAGCAAAAACCTGCTCCACATTGGCGCTGAAAGCAAGGCCTGGGTGCCAGCTGAGCAGCAGAGCCTTGGCCTTGTCCGTCATGGACCACTTTTCCAGCTCCAAGCAACTCATTGGCTCCCTGTAGCACAGCCATCTCGTGAAACCGCACTTCTGCTGAAGCAGCTGGTTGGAGCTCTCTTTGTTCTCCATGTCCACGATTGTCGTCCACTCCAGTTTGATGCTTTTCATAATCTCATCTTGCACTTGAGCCATTTGAAGGTCATCCTTCGGGTCGACGAGCAAAGCTGCAAAGCGAGCGGGGCTGGAACGGAGGTAGAGGACGTACATGCTCATCTCGAAAATCACAGCCAAAACTGCCATGAAATGATCTCGGACAAGATCTTCCTGCACCAGAGGGCGCCTCCGCGAAATCAGCAAGACCTTAGCTTGCCCGAAAATCGGCCTTCTGCTCCGTTCCAACTTCATCATGTGCAGCCTAGTCATGGTCCTAGACTAGATGTATGTAAACCCCCGATTCTTGGCGGTTTGTTTCCGCTCTGGAGTGGGGCGATGGGCTCTGTCCAATGTGTGGTGTGTGTGTGTGTGCACATGAATGAAAGCCGAATGGCTTGAAGTGCTTGCTCTCGGCTAGCTGCCGCAATATGAGAACAAGGAGACACACAAAAAGCATGACTATCAGAGCTGTATCGAATGAGATTGATCATGAAATGAACGGATCGAGCATGAAATGAAATGATCCAACATGACATGAAATGACCCAATATGAAATGAAATGATATCGAAGAATGAATGAGCAGAAATGACGATGAGTATCGATGAGCAATGAAATCGAAAAAGAGCCAAACGAAAATGGCGGGACACTGATGTCAATGATGAAGTAACATGAAATCCAAACGTGATTGACATGAGACGGCAATGACTGACACCTTCCGCATGAGTTGCACCCAGGTGCTAAACATAGATGAAGGCAGTGCCAGGACCGTCGGTCTGAGGGCATCAAACAAAGTTGACCTACTATCTTTATATGATGTATCGCGATAAAGCCTTGGCTGAGCGGGGTAGTTCAGGTCAGGCCTTGATTCCTAGCGAGCGAATGACAATAAATAATAGCATGGCTTATGCGTCCGAAAACACCGTCCTCAGAATCGGGCACTTTCAATGAAACCTTATCATGACTTGCGACGATGGATGTGTCTGCTGCTATTTAAAATATCAGTTTGTTACATGACAAGTTTCCAAAGAAAGCAGTTCTGGCTAACTTGCCGCATGAGCCCATGTAAGGCCCTCAAGGCGAGTTAGGGGTTTGTGTATTTCCGTAAAATTAGACTATTGACTGAATTAGAAAGAGAGCCCCCGCGAATCATCATCATAACTGTTCATATTCATGACTCAGTGACATCCTGCTACATGCCCAAGAACCTAGACTGAAGCTGAGCTGCCCCCGCAGCATTGACCTCTGCGTCGTGGCAGAGGTGCAGTCGCCCAAGGGCTGAAGTCCCCAGGGAGTCCCGGACTAAGCCCACAATTCGACTCTCGTAGTCGTTGCCATGAACCCAAAGCGTGTGCTCGTGGAGGGCGAACAACTTGCTCATGTTCTTTTCCTCAATGGGGAGCAGCATTAGCCGTGTCTTTCATGATTAGGAGTTCGCCCCACCAGTGATAGTCGTACTAGTAGTAGTAGTAGTAGTAGTAGTAGTAGTAGTAGTAGTAGTAGTAGTAGTAGTAGTAGTAGTAGTAGTAGTAGTAGTAGTAGCAAAAGTAGTAGTAGTAGTAGTAGTAGTAGTAGTAGTAGTAGTAGTAGTAGTAGTAGTAGTAGTAGTAGCAGTAGTAGTAGTAGCAGTAGTAGTAGTAGTAGTAGTAGTAGTAGTGGTGGTACTAGTAGTAGTGGTAGTAGTAGTAAGTAGTAAGTAGCAAGTAGTAAGTAGTAAGTAGTAAGTAGTAAGTAGTAAGTAGTAAGTAGTAAGTAGTAAGTAGTAAGTAGTAAGTAGTAGTAGCCGTCGTCGTCGTAGGAGTAGGAGTAGTAAGTAGTACTGGTACCAGCACTAGTACTAGTCGTCGTAGTCGCAGTCGCAGTCGCAGCAACAGGGGCGGGTCGGGTTGTGGGTGTTGGGTGGCCTTCCCCGCGGTCTTTGCAAACACCAGTGTTATAGTCTCACCTCCACTCGGCCAGGGTGGAACCGCCATGCCCAAGGGGTGTGCATCTGCCAGCTGCGGGACTGTCCCAGGTGTGGTTCCACAGGACCCCTGACCAGCTCGCCTGTTCCAGCCCCAATGCCACCGGCCAATGCAACGTCCCTGTTGCGATTGACCCTGTCGTTGCAGTCACCGCGGTTTTGTACCCACCTGCGGTCTGCTTGGCAAGTGGCTTGTGCAGTGACCCCCAAGGCAGCAGGCCAGTGGCACTGCGGTGATGAATGGCGGGGGGTCGGTGAGAAGTTAATAGAAGCAGAACACTCACAAGACACATACACCTAGGGAAGTCTCGGGTTTGCAGCAGAGGTAGCTTTGCCAGGGCTACTGTGTTACTGTTGGTGTTACTGCAACTGCTTCTGCTGCTTCTGCTGCTTCTGCTGCTGCTGCTGCTGCTGCTGCTAGGAAAACTTACCAGTAGTAGTAGTAGTAGTAGTAGTAGTAGTAGTAGTAGTAGTAGTAGTAGTAGTAGCAGTAGTAGTAGTAGTAGTAGTAGTAGTCGTCGTAGTAGTAGTAGTAGCACTAGAAAGTGGCAGTAGAAGTAGACAAAACCGTAGAAGTCGCAGTAGTAGCAGCCGCAGCGGTGCAAGACTAACATTACAGTAGCAGCAATAGCAGCAGCAGCAGCAGCAGCACCCGTATTTGCAGCAGTCCTTGTAGCAGTAGTGGTAGTAGGACAAGAAGTAGCAGTAGTAGTAGTAGTAGTAGTAGTAGTAGTAGTAGTAGTAGTAGTAGTAGTAGTAGTAGAGTAGTAGTAGTAGTAGTAGTAGTAGTAGTAGTAGTAGTAGTAGTAGTAGTAGTAGTAGTAGTAGTAGTAGTAGTAGTAGTAGTCTAGTAGTAGTAGTAGTAGTAGTAGTAGTAGTAGTAGTAGTAGTAGTAATACAGTAGTAGTAGTAGTAGTAGTAGTAGTAGTAGTAGTAGTAGTAGTAGTGGTGGTAGTGGTAGTGGCAGTGGTGGTATCAGTACTAGTACCAGAAGCAGCAGTAACAGTAGCTGTAGCAGCGCTAGTAAGTACTGGCACCAGTACTAGCGCTAGCAGTAGTAAATTAAAGCAGTTTTTGTTGATGGCGGTGTCGGTGATTGTGGTGGTGGGGGTAATGTTTGCATCATGGCGGCTGGAGTCGTCACAGTCCTGGCAATGCTAGCGGCAGTAATGGCCGTGCTGCTAGTTGTAGCAGCAATGGTAATAGTGCTGCTAGAGGTAGCAGCAAACAGTAGTAGTACTAGCAGTCGCAGTAGCAGTAGTAGTGGTAGTGGTGGTAGTAGTAGTCGTCGTCGTCGTAGTAGTAGTAGTAGAAGTCGTAGTGGTAGTCGTAGTGGTAGTAGTAGTTGTAGTAGTACTGGTAGTAGTAGTTCTTGTAGCAGTCGTAGAAGTCGTAGTAGGTGGTAGTAGTAGTTGTTGTGCGAGCAGTCAGAGTGTAGTACTGGTAGTAGTTCTCGCCGTCGTGATATAGCAGGATAGTACGACTCTTTGGAAGATGCAGCGATTTTTTCTATATTTCCAGAGGCGAACCCTTGTTACTACGACTTATAAAGAATAATACTAGCGGTCAGAATTAGTCGAAGTAGTTGTAGTTCTGATTCTAGTACCAAGATTGGTCAAGAAGCCAGCCAAAGACACATCTCGGTCATGGGCCTCACCACTTCCGCCACGGACTGAAACAAGCTGTGAGCCTCTTCATCCAACAAGGCCTCACGACAGAACATTGAACACTCCGTTGCGGCGTACCAGTTGATCCTGCCTTGACACACAGGTCGAGGACACGGTCGTAGGAGCGGTCGTTCTTCTGCTCTACGAACGGGTTGCGGCCCTCCTGCACAGAGTCTGGCTGCTAGCATCTGTGCTCCCAGACCAGTGGCTCTCCTCCATGCCCGTCCACAGGACGGCCAGGAGAGTCGCCGTGTACTTTCTCGTGAAAGACTGGGCGGAAACCCCCCACGAGAGCCAGCGGCCCTGATGGAACTTGCTGAATGCTCTCCTCGGCTTCATTTCTTAACAGCAGAAAGACAAGCACAGGTGTGCTGCTATCATTCCATTGCCTGCCACACGACAGGTGCAGAAATCTCGTTAATAATTGGCTGCGAGAGTCCCGGACAGCGACTGCAAGATCTGAACCGTCCGGTCGAAGTCCAGGCGCTCATCTCCCGACGGGGAGCAGCCATTCCTTGGCTTTATGCAACTCAAGCTGGAGAATGCAACAGGAGTTGGTGCCACTGAGTCTCTCCTCCAACACTGCGGCCCCAAAGAGCTGCTGCAAAGTGTCATCTGGCAAGGCCTAGATGTGCAGGCATGACATCAATCAACAGTTTTTGTCGACTCCCTGCCTTCCTACTAACTGGCCATGTTACATAGTATTGCTGCCCGGGCACGACTTCCACATACCGCCGTAGTGCCTGTTGCCACGTGGCTCCTATCTTGTTCGTTGCCCAAGGAGCTTTCCGAGCCCGCATCAGCCAGGAAGTCAGACCAAACATTCCTTGTCTGTCTCCATCAATGAGCCAGCCAGAGAAGCAAAGTCATGTAAACGAACAGTGAACAAACAAACAGACATACGTATACACATACGAGCAAACATCCATCCATCGATCCAGGCATGCCTGTCTGCTTGCGTACAGACAGACAGACTGGCAGGCAGGCAGGCATGCAGACAGACAGACAGACAAACAGACAGACAGACTGACATATGATATGAACAGAAATCATGACATTCTTCTTAACATAAAACAACGTACACGTGTGCAGCTGCAGCTGCGGATGTGTTAACTGACATACAAAGACATGTGCATAGACACACACACACATACATGCATCGGTAGATGCATAAAACCGCAAATATGTATGTATCCGAAAAAAAACAACTCCTCACATGCCCCACCTAAGCTCTGTCTGTTAAAAGGCATCCCAGGCTCGCTTGACACCAGGAGTGGCATTGAACACTCGACGAAAGTGATTGCTCAGCTTGTGCCTGCAAGTGGCATGCCAACTTCCGAGCCCAATGACACCCTATCTTCATGGTCATGATTGCGACCCAGCTGCAGCTCGTCACGTCGGAAAGCCACAGGCAACTTCAGATTTGCCAGGAACTGAAAACCGGCGAAAAGCGCCGACCCTTCATCCGGGTTCAAAATGATTCGGACTCTGTCATCATCTTCCAGCTCCAGCCATACAGCCCCACCCTTGTTCACATCATACATAAAGGGCTTGCCATCATGACACCGTCGCTGAGTGCCTTCTTTCGGGTTGGCACTTGGGTACCCAACATTGCCCGGCTTCAGCTCAACATCCAGCAGCTCCAACGAATGGAGCACGGCCTGAACTTGCTCACGAGTCGCCAACCGTGCTTGCTGTAGCTTGGAGAGGCTCTTTGGCCTGAGCTGTTGCAGGTGTTTCGCACCGGGCACAATCCACCTACATGTTTAATTTTTCCGAGAAGCTGCTTCGCCCGGGCACGGCTGTCATCAATCATTTTGCCTGCCAAACCATCTGCAATTTCCTGTGCTGCTTCGAGCTTCGAGCTCGTGTCGGCGGTTGTGGCCAGGAGATCGCTCAGCCGCTGGACCACCCACGGCACAGCCAAGTCGTTGGTTGCGACGATTGGACACCACAACTCGGTTTCGAGGATACTCTCGAACCAAACTTAGACGGTTGTTTCATCATGAAGAGGAATGTACGTTTGTATCTGCACCGAGTCTCCTCCTTGAAAGCCTTCGGCGAGGCATCGCACAGGAAGCTGAGGCTGCGGAACGTCTGCTGGCTCAGCTCCTGCCCAGAGCTTCTGTCAAAGCATGCAAACTTAAGGTGTCTGCTGCATAGCAAATAGCGAATATTGGGTGCAACCCACACATGAGGGCACGGGCTGACAGCTCTGGGAAGATGGAGACAGAGCTGAGTCGATGAATGGGAATTTCTATGGAGAACGTCTCAGAGTGAGGCCCTGAAGCCAGCATCACTGACACTTCGACTGAATCCTCACTGAGAGAGAAGGGAGTGAACACGAAAAAGATTTGCCCTGCAAGCAAGTCTGATTGGAGCGAATGAATCAATTGTCAGTCAATGAAGATTGTGTCCAATGATTCAGCAGGAGCAGTCAGCAACAGTAGCCAGCGAGATTGGTACAGAGTCCTGACCAAACCAGAGTGCATAAGAACTAGACAAAGAGAGAGAGAGAGAGAGAGAGAGAGAGAGAGAGAGAGAGAGAGAGAGAGAGAGAGAGAGAGAGAGAGAGAGAGAGAGAGAGAGAGAGAGAGAGAGAGAGAGAGAGAGAGAGAGAGAGAGAGAGAGAGAGAGAGAGAGAGAAAGAGAGAGAGAGAGAGAGAGAGATATATATATAGAAAGCACGGGAAACAGGTAAACCAATGGGCACGAGTTACAGACACTGCAGAAGATAGGGTCTGTAGACAG